ACCTCATTAGTACTTTACAGTGTGAGATGACTGTATCAGCAGCATGGGCTTTCTGATAAATACTAGCCAGATCCCAGCTAAAGAGCACGGCCACTCAAATAACACACAGCATACTGGCTGCAGCTGTGAGGAGATGACCAGGCTATAGAAGTAGAATGAGACTGAAAATAGAGCCTCAGGCCAAACAATCAGCCAATGTCTTTATGTTTCTTTTAAAAGATACTGAAAGACAATGAACCAAACTCCTTAAAACTCATTGTGTAGTCTGAAGACACTGCAGCTATCTAAAAACTGACTCTAAAGCCAAAACAAGGCTTAAGTCTAGTGGTTTTTAATCTCTGTCCTCAGGCTCCTGGGCCCATTTTTACTTCTGTGAAAGAATGACTGGACTAAAAGTGTCTTTCCAAAAACAACTTCAGTAGAAATATAAATGTAGCAGGTCAATAGACCATGTAAGTAATGAGTTCAGTGCCGTGCAGTGGAACATCTTAGTGCAAATAGCATCCATCAGCATATGCACTGGTTTGTTGGTTAGACTCAGTTCGTATCTGATGCAATCTTTAACTAAGACAAATGATAAACACATATAGATATACGTAACGAATAATGATCCATGTCTGACTGACCATAACATCAATTGGTCAAGTACACCTTATTTGGAAATCAGCCTTAAGGCAATGAATCTGATTGAACAAATCTTACATAGACTTTGTTTGTTAATATAAATCTGTTTTACAATATTTACTAAAATAGCTAGAATCTTCATTTTGTTATGATATTTGCTAAATACTTAGTTACTGTCTTGATAGTAATAAAGGTTGTACAGACAAACAATGAAAGGTAAGTGATGGGAGCCTTTGCAACCAACCAAATACCACTTTATTAAATGTATTCATTTGTAATCAGGCATTCTATATGTGCTGATTTCCTGTTAAGGAAGGAAATTTCAGTCCCAGTCCTGAGAACTGCGTGCACTGCCCATGTTCTTGCTTTCTCTCCCTGACTTGGAGCATTGAATTAGGGCCAGTTCATGGCTCTGAGAACAGCTACCTTAGCAGCAACTGGTTCAGAATTGGTATAAACTGAACTGGATGTGTTTTAAGTACACACTTTAAAATGATGGCTCCTCAAGGGTACTTTAGTAAAGAAAATGGTTCTAAATAGAACTATGAACACTCAAAGAACTCTTTGTGTGATTTGCTATAGATGGCTCTATATAGAACCTTTTTTTGAAAGGGTTGTATAGAGCACCAAAAAGGGTTCTTCTATTGTAACATGCCTGACATAGTAACTATAGAAGATTTTTTTATTGCTATATAGAACCCTCCTCAAAAAGGTTCTATATAGAACCATCTACAGCATATTCTCCATCAAGCCGAAGAACGTTTCACAATGCAAAGAATCCTTTAATCATGAAAAGAGTTCTTTGAATGTTCATGCTTCTATATAGAACCATTTTCTTTACTAAATAATCCTTGAAGAACCATCATTTTTAGTGAGTAGACTAAAAAATGATGGTAGACAGTTTAGGGTGAAGCAAAAAAAAAAAACAAAATGTTTTTGTCTTTTCTTTTTTTTTCCTGAAGCAGGACAAGGACAATAAGAGGGTAACAGGAATTCACTTTATTACCACTGTGTGCAATTACTATTGCTGATTTTCATTAGAATGAGGTTATGAGATTCAATTATACATGAACAAAGATATTTCAGTGCATTTACTTTCATTAATGAGTATGGGATGGACAGGAGCAGGCCCATTCTTCTTTATTGACAAGTATTCATCAAGTATTCACACAGGTATTATACAAAAAAAACACAGACTGAACAGAAAGTTCGGTCAGATGGATTTGTAGCTACACTGAATGAGCTTGTCACATTTGACTGGGTCAGTTGAAAAACTGACAGTAGACAAATTCTTGAGTGCTTGAGTGAATGCAGACAGGGTCCTATGAAGACTGCAGTGTTGTTTATTTATTTATTTATTTGGTTTTTTTAATATAGGATTCTCTTTATTGACCTTATGGGTGCACATAATTACGCCTCTATTTGTAAGGTGAGTGCAGGAGTTTAACTTCTTGGAGTGGCAGAGATATGGAATCTTTGTTCTCCATATGGAAAACTTTCCAGTTCAGTTCCTGTACCTTCTTGATCCCCAGAGGCACAGAGAAAATAAAACCTGCAAATGTCAAAGCACTAATTAGTCCTAATTGAGCTTTCCTGATGGAATCCTGATGTGGTTCGTGTGGAGAAAGGATTCGGGGCGGGTTGTTTGCAGTGCTTAATGAAATAATGGTAATTAAAATTCATTTCTTAATAAATTGTGATTATTGGTGCTCTGTGCTGGAATTATAAATGGCAGCATTGATGCTAACCAGCAGCCTCTGTTCTGGGGCATGCTATTTCATGCATTTTAATTAGCATGGCCTACATGATCCTCTATGTGCTGATGGACCCACAATATTGGTAGCAATGCTGTTCATTTTCCAACACCTATACAGCCAAACGTAAGCTTCACTTTACTTCCCTTCACTCTTTCTGATTGACAGTTTGGTGGTGTAGTGGATTGGAGTTTGACAAGCCCAAGACTCTGAGTTTTGTCATCTTTCTGTACCCTGAAAGCAGCAGAGATGACTAAGCAAGACAGAGGGAAAATAACTTTTGTATACCAATACTGTGCATCCTGTCTTCCTTTCCTGCCTCCAGCTTCCCTTTCTGTCGTATTGCGTGGAAGGAAAGCATTCAGAAAGTCTCAGAGGTCATAACAACAACTTTATTTATCCTTCTTAAGTTTAATGAAGATGTGGGAAGTATTCAAAAGGAGACAGCAAGCTTAATAAATAGTTGGTTGTGGATTCTGATTCCATCAGAATTAAACATTTCTTTGCCCTGTGTCAAGGCTGCACTTTTCATTTAAGGAAAATTTCACTGATTTCCCAAAATTTCTTCATAATTCAATCGATAAAATGTAATTAAAGTCTTTCAGTGTGGATTGATGTGAAATTCACCATTTTAGAGAAACGTACAGAGTCAGAATTGTGCACAACATTTGTGATAGTAACCAGATGTCTGAAGTATTCAATGCCTCTATGATCTACATCACAAGTTAGTACATTAATTAGTAACAAATACATTGCATGATGCCTGAGATATTGGTTTATATCTAAAATGGAAAATATATTTTTTAAATATTTTCATGGTGGAGATGTACATGCAGGGTGTTAGAGTATACATAGTGTAGTTTTTTCTTTTTTTGGGGGGGGGTTCATTATCAACTCTACATATAAAAGTCAGAAGACACCTCAGGGTTCTCTAAAATCTTTAAAAAGATCTTCAAGGAATGGTAAATACAATGGTTATACATAGAATCATGAATCCTTAAAGAACCATTAGCATGCATACATGGTTCTTTGCATGGGGAAATGGTTCTTCAGATTGAGGGAGAATGTGTTGTATATGGTTCTATGTATTACTAAAAAGGGATCTTCTAATGTTACAAGCTTCACTATATAGCATGTAACACCCTTTTTAAAAATGTTCTATATAGAAACACATATAAAACACATTCTCCATCAATCCAACAAACGATTTCACTATGCAAAGAACCATTTAAGCATGCAAAGGGTTCTTTGAGTGTTCTTGGTTCTATATAGAGCCATTGTCTTTACTAATCCTTGAAGAACCATCTTTTAGTTGTTTTGGATAGTAAATTAAATGGCTATATTTGTGGCCTATATTTTGTGTAGACTTAGTTCCTACCATCAACACTGTTAAGAAAATCCAATCTGATAAGTTCCTCTACAATGAACCATTTCACACCAAACCACCCTCAGTGCTTTTGTTTATGCAGTCTTATGCAAAAGTTTGAACACCACCAGTCAAATTACGTTTTGTTGATTTTATTAGTGAAAAACATTAACATTATCAATTTAGCATCCTCTACAGAGAACACACTTCAATATGGCATCTTTTTGCAAATTTTAAAACACAAAATACAAAATGCACTATAACTTTTGCACAGGCCACTATTTTCACTTAGAAAATCAACATGTGATCTGACTAGGGGCACCAATACTTTTGCATACACTCATACTTTTGCATACAGTTCTATGCAAAAATGACTGTATATCAACAATTGAATTATGCATATATATTGGAGTATGTATAGAATTTCTCTCTAATTAATTCTGCACATCCTTTTATTCTACCTTGGGATCAACAGCATGGTAAGAATAACAGCATGAAGGAAACAAAATTCTTCCACTGCCAGGAGAGCGTAGAAAGCATCAGTGTTCTGTAAGCATCCTCTGTGGGAAGCTGCTGTCATTGGTATGACAGCATGCTCCTGTCTAACTGTTCTGTAATGAGAATAGTTATGGGCATGGTTATGCTCTTCTCTCTGTGTACTCTGTCACAAATGAGCTGTTAATGAATATGCATTGTACATGGCGCTACGGAGGGAGCTCACATATGTGACTGGTGCCATCCTGAGCAGGTATGCTACTGGCATAAAGGAAAAAAGAGTTAATATGGAAATAATAAACTTCAGTATGTGTTGATATCTACAAATAAATGAAAAAAAAGGAAAGAGAATGGACGAACGCATGCAGCATAGCTACATGTTGAATGGCACAGCAAATTACATCTGCACAGTAAATATAAAAATATGAGGTGATGCTTGCACTGCTCGCTCAAGATCAGACAACACTCATGGCAGTGTGTGGGAAAGACCCTGCGTTTTGAAGTGCTAATGGGTTAGATCATTACTCAGCCAGCACCGCAGTCTTGACAGATGACTTGGTTTACTGATGTAGCCGTGCATTTGCAACAATATGCTCACTGTGTTTCAGAGGCGTTAATGAGCTCTGTTTGTCTGTCTCTCAGTCTCGGTGCTTCTCATGGATAAGCACATATATTATTAACTGATTGATGAAACTTCATGAGCACCCCATCACCACCACCACCACAACCTGACCCCACCTTCCAAGACCCACAAAGTCTGTTGTACCCTTCGGTTCGCCATCTTTTAAGTAAAGTAGTACAATGAGAGTCTCACAATAGTGGTAATGATTTGCCATAATTGCACATTGAGGACCTGCAGAGAGAGAGAAGAAATGAGAAAGACAGAAGAGGGTGCTGGCCACAGACAAAATTACCATCAATAGTGAATTCCAAATTTGCAGCTTCTTTCTGGCTTCTGAATTAGAAGGAGGAAAAAAGAGCCTGAACCACTCGGTGGTTTGATGTGCCTTCATTGTGGCTAGAGTGCCCCCTGCTGTTCCAAAAAAAAATTAGCTACCAGCCCCAGACTTCATTAAAGAGACCGTGCTCTACAGCAAGCTGTCCTTCATAGTGACGAACGAAAAAGAAAATACAAAGAGAAATCAAGGGTCACGGAGCATCTACGGCTTTTTTCTGCTACCGTTTGCCCTCTGTTCAACCCTCCGGAGTCTTGAATGGGTTCCACTCTGCTGAATCACCAGGAACACGCTGTCTCCCAGATTCATTACGGTCCATCCCTGACTTCACCTGTCCTCCCTGCCCCCATGAAGCTTACCATGTGGAACAGAGGTGGGACTGAGATTTATGTGTGCTGCTTGCACACCCCTCCCTCAACCCCTCTCAATTTCTTCTTCCACTTGTTCAAAAAGATGATGCATTCTAGAGCTCTAGTGGAGCAGAACTGCCCTATTGGCATAGGGCATCTCATTTGCACATGGAAACAGGTCGTGATAGCGAATGCTTCAACAAATAACTCCGGTAAGCACATTTACCATAGATGGTAGAGTCAGGGCAGTGGTTCAGGCCAGGCTGGCAGCCCAGTACAGGCCGGTCAGCAGGAGGGCTGGTCAGCTGTTCATAAAACCCAACTTGATGTATCCCTCCTCCTGAGCAGTGATCTATCACAGGCAGATGCTGGACTCATAATAAAGTTGTTTGTGCTGCTTGGTGTGGTGTGCATATAAATGCACTCGCGAGCTCCGCAATGCACTACATCTTCATTTCTGCTCATCTGCACTGGCAGCAGTATATTACGGGCAAATGATTGTGATGACCTGCGCATTTTTGTGCCCGAGCACATTCATGCCTGGGTGATGTGCGTATGGAGAAGCGGTGGCACATGAGGCTGTGATGAGAATCTTACATGGGGGTGCATAGAGAGTATTTCTCCTCTCTCACGAGCCCAGCCTCCCTGGATGAATGGGATTATTGAGCAGAGTGTTAAATCATGAGCACAGATGCATGGCTAAGTGCTATGTGTGAACACAGGTCAGCAGTGCGAGAGGGCCAGCCTCTATGATGTATTTAATGGGAGCAGCGGGACGAGCCTTTATTGGATGATTCATCAAGGGATTGGCATGGTAGCTGGGCTAATATTGACCCTCTTAACACCCTGCATGGATGGTCAGTCAACCACAGCCCTCCATTAGAGCAAGCCCGCCGCTGCTACAACAACACCACGAACAGAGGCCGCATTCATAGCCACCAGCACGGTCGGCTTCAAGTTTTCTCATTTCCTATGATCACTGACGTCCACAGCCCATTTTACATCTCTTTTTATTACAAATATATATTTTGATAGTAAATAATATGCTTGTAAAACACACACCTGTTGTAGTATCTCATGCACTTTTATGGGGGTATTCTCTCTTAAAGACTTTACGAGAATTTCGGGGGGGGCGGGGAAGCACCTGAAAGGAGCAGAGATGTGCAGTGGAGAGGCAGGGGTGATCTCGGGGAGGGGGGGAAGAATGGTTCACATTATAGATAGGGCTCAGAGCTCAATTTGCCAGCAAGCACGCAAGCAAACACTGATCAGCAATTAAAGACCTTCGCATTCTGCACTGGATGAGATTTTATATACAGGAAAATAACACACTGGTGGCACAGCTGTGTCCTTTTTGCCAAACCAGAGCAAGCAAAATGAAAACAGACTGAAGCAGAAATGATGAAGTGTCTCCGCAGATTCCAACAATGCCAAAAAAGTCTGAGTTTCGTCTGTGTCAACAGCTTGCTGGCACTCTAGATTTGAATGTCTCTGTGAAATACCCATCCCACACTTAGAAATCTGCAGGACGCACCATCAATGTCGTCATGGTTGCCATCAAGCTTGGCCCTTTCCAGTAATACCATTTGATGCCATTGTAACGCATTACGTTGGAGATTCCAGCATAGTAGATCCCGTTCAAATTGGATGGTCCACAGGCTTCAAACCACCATCCTACAACAACAGAAGGTCAGTAAGTAGACGTCCTTCTTAAGTGCCACTTTGCCAGCTGGTCCCTAACAAACTAACCCCCTAACAATTTCACATGAATCTGAGACAAATATTTCTAGGGCAGTTTAATTCAGGTCAGCAATATTACTGTACATCAAAACAAATGGCTTTTTCAGTATTCTCCCAGCTCCTCAGTTACTATGGAAACAGAATTGTGTTGCAATACAGTAATTTTATGGTAATGTGATGATTTTTGGTAATGAAGGGATCCAGGGAAATTCTTTTGCATAATTTAAGTAATGAGAGGCTTATTACAGGCTGAGGAAACTGAAATGGCAGAAAGAGACACAGGGTCGGATCTTTACCCCCTGAGGCCATCTGGGCACACTTGCAGCTGCAGCGGTCATTGTCCTGGTCCTTAGTGCTGAACATGGTGCCAGAGTGGGTCAGGCTGCTGATGCGTCCAGCTGTACCACTGAAACCTTGAGCATGGACACTAGAAAAAGGAACAGTATGAGCAAAAACTCAGAGTGAAGGTTACAAACAATAAGGATAAGAACGTTGATAAGGACTTAGCTTAAGGCTAAATCAAAACCTGAGTAAGAATGGAAACCTTTGTTAAAATAGGTTACATTTGACAGCCATGATTATTTTAATGGCCAGGATCCTCAGACATGTTTTAAAATGTCAAAAATTTCACACAACTGAACTCTACAGTACTGTGCAAAAGTCAGAGACCACTCTTAATCTTCCTAGTCTAAACTGACATTGAGTATACATTATTATTTTTTCAGCTTTTTGGAAAAAAGCAAAAACATATTAAAAAGAAGCTTACGTATAATTTTAACTTTTTCAGTATTGTGTCCATCTTATTGCCTTTATTACAGCCTCCATTCTTTTCAGGAGACTTGTTTTCAGCTTTTTAAATCTGCAGAGATTTTTTTCTACACCTCCAAAGTTCAATCTTAAAAGTTGGTTGAATTTTCTGCTTCTAATCTCAAACACAAGTAATCCCAAACACCTTCAGTGATGCTGAGGTCTGGATACGGTGGTCAGTCTATTATTCTGAGACCACCAGCAGCTTCTTTGATTTGTGAATTTTCTTCTTTTTTGTCTCTTTCCTTTTCTCAGTAAATAACTTCTTGACAGCTACACATCCTTTCAGGCTCAATTCAAAAGAAGAGTCTTCTTCTCACAGTGAAAGGATGGACAGAAAATCATGGGATTTTTCAGATCTGAAGGAGTGGAATGGAGCTTGATTTTCTCCTCTCTCTCAAAGATAAACGTTTTAAGTACTGCTTTTCTGATGGTGACAGTTTTGGTGGTCTACCAGGTCTGTTAATTTTTTGAACTTCATTTTTGGAAACTTGTGTTTTTCCACTTATTTTCCTTTTACTTTCTCCTTACTTGTGCAAGTGGATAATCTTGTATCTAATCTCCCCAGAAATATCTCTTGGAAAATGAATGCCTTGTACTTGTGTGAAGGGTGGTCTCTGACTTTTTCATAGCTCTGTATATGTGTTAAATAGTATTAATAAGAATATTTGTCTGTGGTCATGCCACACATACAGTGAAAAAAGAAAAAAGAAAGAAAAGTTCCTAAAAATGGTTCTTAGCTTGGACTACAGTACTAGACTTAATTGGAACAGAATCTTTACATTATGTAGAAGTTCTTTTAACTAACGTTTATGCTCACACATCTTATTCATTGAAAGGTTCTTTAGGGTACCAAAAGCGGTTCTGATATGGCATCACTTTAAAGAACCATTTTTATCAACTGTATTTTTTAAGATATAGGTATCATAAGGAGATCTTTCTTTCTGCCCAGTCTCATTTAAATGCATGCAGCTCAGCTGCGGTATGTGACCTCCATTATCCATAATCTATTGTCTGCAATGACTCGCAAGGTATGATTGTGCACATTCAGCATGGAAAGTGCCTGAAAAAGGACCACACAGCAAGGGACTGCAGGAGTGCGCTTTGGCTGGGAGACATCTTTACACAACAGGTCGTTTGGCTTGCCATTCCCATGTGAGCACAACACACCAGAGATAGCGCCAGCATTCTCAGCATGCAAATAAAACTCACACATACGGTAAGAGGTGAAATGGGAACCAAGCACGGTAGGATTTGGCATGGGGCTTTCGGAGCTCCTTTCCAGGTTGTTTAGGTGGTGAGCCACACACACTGTTTTTCAGCTAGCCCAGATTTAATACACTCATACCACTCAGTGAGCCTCATTCAATTCAGCGCACACCAGAATCAGATTTCAGTTCATCTACTTTGAGTTTAATTTAATTTTTTCTGGTTCTGGTTCATTCGTGGTATAATCATGCCCACAAGTAATGCCTGGTGCTTTAGCTGCAACAGTTAGAGAGGGAGCGAGATTTGTTTGACTTGGCAGTTTTCTGGCAAAGCCAGGTGCTTGAAAGCGTTTGTTTGGGTTGTCTCCAGTAGGCAAGTCTGCACTTGGGATGGGTAGGCTAGCGGCAGCTGTGACGGGGAGAGAAATGGAAGACAAACAGTGGCAGTTTGCCCTGCAGTGAGCTCATCATTTTGACTGATGTACTTAAATGTTTAGATTTATTTATTTCATTTTGCATAAAGGCAAAAAGAAATGTATAAAAAGGGTAGCAGAAGGACCTTAAATCTTTAATTAATGGAGTCCTTGTCACACACAGTTTTCTATTTATTTGCTTATTAAGTTTAACTTATTGGGAAAAAATAAAACACAAAATAGAAAATTTTGTACAGGATACAGTTTTTTTCCCCCAATATGTTAAATTCAGCATAAAAAACAGTAAGGGTGCAGTAAAATGTACAGAACAGTGCTCTCTGTAGAGGATGTGTGACTTATTTCCACTTAGTATATCAACAAAACATGCAATTTGACCAGGGTGCCAAACCTTTTGCATACAGTTATATATGCTGTACATGAAAATGAACTGCATATGAAATAAGCTGATTCTTATTGTTAAATGCCACTGTTCTCACTATTGAAAGATGTATTGAAACCTCAATATTCTAAACACTGAATAAATTTCTGATGGTATTTTTTCACTATACTGTTTAATATTGAATAAGAATTTAGGGTAACATTTTACTCAAACCTTGCTTCATAAAACTGACATAACCACCATGCCATATACCTGTCATGTCAGGGTTCATGACAGCTTATGACAGATTATGTCTGGTAACCTAACAGTGTTGTGTTATCATTACTGCTAATTGTCATCATAGATGTAATAATGTTTGATGTTATGAACACAAGACGCCATGACATTCAACATTGTGGCATCTGTCATGGCAGTTACCAGTAATGGTAAAATGATTGTTATATTACTAAAGAAAATCTGTCATGATAATTCATGATGGCATATAATGTCTTCCATGACATGCTTATGCCATAGTTATGTCAATGTGACGTAGCAGGGCTCAGTAAAGTGTCTCCAAATTTAGTTATATGCTGTGTATTCCAGTTGAACTACACATGGAATAGATCACATTGTCATTGTTGAACATTCCCACTATTATAAGCTTAACTAACACTGAAAAATGAAGCCACAAAGCACTAAAGACAGCATCATTTTCATTAATTTTCTTTTTTGGGGGACCAGGGAGGGTTGTAACATTTTATTCCTCAGCCATTTGTCTCAGTGGTTGTTTGAGCTATACTTTCCAAACATTTATATAAGATACCCATATTTGTCTGTTACAAACAGCAACAGTGTAGGAATGTACTGCTTACTCACAAAGCAAGCAAGTTGGTGTCAAATAATACAAACAGTCCTGTTGTAACAACTTACCCCAGAGTTGTAAGAGTAGGTGGAGTGTAGAAGAAATGAAAGAAATGTATTGAAGTAGATTTCTAAAGGACATTTTTATTCAATTCAGACCAGAAAAAAAACAGGAAGAACAGTCATATTGAACGTATTACCATGTACGAAACATTTTAAACACGTCACACTGTGAAAGAAGCTGCATATGATGCATTATGTCAGATTTTTTTGACAGTTAAAGTAAATTTCATTTGAGTGGGTTCATGTAAGAAACGTGAGTGGGCTAATTGCTCTTTGGTCAGTCTCCCTACATTGCATTGTGTGTTACAGCCCACCTCGTGACATTGCTATATTGTTTTGCATGTATATTTGAAACTAGCTCATTTTAAACTAGATTTTTATCAACTTAAACTAGAGAAACTGCTGATTTAGACCATATCAGTTAGAAAATTTAGCCTCTATTAGTATAAGGGCTAAGCAGATATAATCTAGAACTGAAATTTCTGGATAATGTTGGATTATGTTACATAAACATGATACTGTTTCACACAAAGTCTGCAAACTTCTCCTGTCAGTTCAGGATGAGGATTGGTGTGTATTGTAGTTATATCACCCCTGTTGCTTACTGCTGATTAGTGAAAATTAGTAAAACAAATTGGTGAAAATTTCCTTTGGTCAGTATGTTCTCTAAGCTAACCTGAGCACATGAATATTATTATCACTACATTTATTTCATATATATATATATATATATACTTTGTGAGTAAAAGTAAGAAAAGTACACTAGATTGTTCTTTACTAAAAGAGTGGTTCTATATAGAACCATTTCATGCTTATCTGGTTGTTTGCATGATGACATTGTTCTTCAGATTAATGGAGAATGTATACAGTTCTATATGGAACTTTTTTAAAAATGGTTCTGCATAGCACCAAAAAGTGTTCTTCTATTGTAATGATGTCAAGGTTGTAACAATAGTAGAACCCTTTTTGGTGCTATGCAGAACCATATACAACCCATCCTCCATCAATCTGAGGAACCATTTCACCATGCAAAGAACCATTTAAGCATGAAATTGTTCTATGTAGAATTTACTCATGGTTCTAGATAGAACCGATCCATTAAAATGAAAAAAAACATTAAAATGAATACCGTTGCTTGTTCATCCAAGATGTAACTACACAAAATATTATTACTTTACACAAAGACTAAATGTATTAGCTGGACATCAGTGAGATAATCTTAACTAAGAATGTCCATGTCATTAGTATATCACAACTGATGGCACTGTTATCCAGTGCGAAACAAAGAAGTTCATTACCTGTACTTCTTTTCCTCTCCCTCGATGTGGAAGCGGTCATACTGAGAGTAGGCCTGGTTTCCCTCCATATCTTTGAGCTGGACCTGCAGCGTGTAGTCTTGGGATGTGGTGAGCAGGTGGATGACATCATTTCCTAGCCAGTGTTCTCCTGAGGGGTCTCCGAATCCCTGCATAATAGATGAACATCCAAGACTTTCCTCTGCCATCTAAAGACATCTGCTTCTGCTGTGAGAGTTCATTTCTGCACTTAACCCCAGAAAAATGTACCTCCATAAAGTGGTTTAACATGCATCGTTTCTGTCTGACTAGGCCAGTAAATGAACAACATTTGTCCAGTGTTATTTAAATATTGTGGCTGGGCACTCAAACACCTCAGAACAGATATGATCAGCCATGTAGGGGGCCCTCCCTAATCCCACGCTCTAGCTAGGGCCAAATATTTATCATCCACTTGTAAAAACATTTTCTTGGAAAATTAATAAAGAGCAAAAAGGAAGAAAGCTGTTTTGCTCTTTGCAGCCTGTTTTGAGTGGGGTATTCCCAGAGTAACTATAGTAATTTATCTACTGAAGTGGGTGAGACAAATTACCACTGCTGCCTCATTTAAAAGCCTAATAAGAGTCCATATCTAAGGTAGAGCTTAAGGACAGAGCATCATTATATTATAGGTGCAAGTCATTGGTTTTAAAATGAGCTTTAAACCCACCTAGGTATCATTAAATCAGAGCTTTATTTCCAGTGTGTTTAATTCAGCTTTGTCCAGCAGTAACATGCACTCCATGAAAGAATAATGGATTCAGCTCTCTTCTCAGTCCCCCTCTGCCTTATTGAGCATATTGGAGGTGATTTCTAAAAAATAACTAGGCAAGAAAGTTAAAAGTACAAATTGGAGCTGAGATCAATGTGTGGAGGTGTCCAACAAGTACAGACTTAATGCAGGTGTAAAAACAGCAAGTGACACTAGAGCTTACTCAAAACAACTCCCTTCCAAAAGAGGTCAGCAAAGGTCAGTAGCCCATCAGTATTCCATGTGAAATTTGTCACTCTAAAAATTAGGAGTTACACTCTCCCCAATCTATCATGGAAATGTGTTTTCAATACAGCCGAGATCAAGTAATTTTTCCAATCAAGTACAGGATGGTCAGGGTTACACATTAATCAGCTCTGGCCAGTTCCATGAGACCAGTAAGATAAGGACACTGCTGACAGAAGCACTCACCATTTTGTACTCTTTCCAACTACGGTGGAAGTCCACTGAGCCATCAAAGCGATGCTGAAGAACAGTCCAGCCTCCTCCTCTGGTCTTCATATCACAGAACACCTAGTGAGGCATACAGAGTCACTTTTCATGTCATAAAAGTCTGTTTCCACAAACTGCTTTTAACTTCAGAAAGATATCATGGCGTGCTACTAGAAGGTCCACTCCAAGTGTAAACTGTTTGGATTTCTCTTTTGGAGATAACAGTATGAGGTCTTTGTCTTTTGATGGTTAGGGTGTCCTGAGATTATAAGGTTGTGGTGATATTTGAGAGGAGACATGAGCTGTTTGAAACGAAAAGTTGAGATTAATAGTATTGTAGTTGCTCTCAACTACGTTTATTTCCATTATTACATGCTACTACTACTATTGCTACTACAACAACTACTACTTCTACAAAAACCTGTAATACTACCAGTATTACTACAACAACTATAACTACTTCTACTACTACCACTACTATTACTATTAGCTCTACTACTACTAACACTATTATTACTTATATTACTACTATTATTACTTCAATTGCCACTACTAATAATGTAATTACTTTCATTATTACTACTATTACTTCTACTATTATTTCTACTACTACAACTACTACTACTGTTACTACTACTATCACTACTATTACTACTGCTACTACTACCAATAATAATAATAATAATAAAAATAATAACAATAATACCAGTATTCTTATCATGATTATTGGTACTACCGCTACTACTAATACTATGTTTACTACTATTACTATTACATACTGCTACTACTACTACAAACAATAAAAAGAAGTAGAAGAAGTAGAAGAAGAAGAAGAAGAAGAAGAAGAAGGAGAAGAAGAAGAAGACTAGATTGATATTAGACCCACTATGCACATCTGGGACATGTGTATACTTTGCTTGCTATTTTATATGTGAATTTCCCTGTTGTGGGACTAATAAAGGGTTATCTTATCTTAATCTTATATTGACCCCAGTAGCCTCATCATGAGCTGAAAGTACACCTGTTGAGAAAATGAAGCACTGTTGCTGTGAAAAATCCAAAAAGGGAAAACATGGCTGGCAACTCTTCACACCAACCATTTTTAATTGAAAAATAGGAAGAAACAGACTAATGTTTTTGTCTGCATGAGAACAGTCATGGAGAGGAGGGGGCTGTTATGACTGTGGCGACTCCCAATGTTGTATTTCCCTTGAATTTGGTTATCCTCATCATGAGCTTCGATGAGCAAGCATTGTATTGTGTATCACTCTTGTGGGGATTTTCTCAGTCTGTTCACAACCCACAGAACCATGAAACTTATTAGAATTTTTTTAAAAGGAAGATGTGGTACATACATGCAGAGAAGAACCTCACAGCCTGCTGATATTCTTGCCCGTTAGTGAAACAAAAAACATCAATCCCATTTCGCAATAATAATAAAAAAGTTGTACTTTAAAACATGAAACGTGAAAAAAATATGATTTGAAAAAAGAACCAGAGTTTTAGGGCTCTTAGGAGAAAACTTCAAACCACAAGCCAATTAGCATATAAAAAATTCTCCTCTATTTTTATAATTATACTGGTGTTTTTTGACTGTTTTCTATAGCCAAACCACACCACAGGCTTTTGTCAGATGCAGATATGCTAAAGGATATAGATATAACTGAAAGCACCAGCCAAATCTTTTTGTAACTATGAACACAATCATGCCAAATATTAGAGAACCAACCTGCAAAACAACATCCACATCAGCTTCAGCTCCGGAGAGAGAGTTATCTCTGACCCACACATGCACAAAAAGCATCCAGTGTAAATAGCAGGTCATTGCAACAGCTGTTAAATGAAGGTTGAAGGTACATTTTCCCCCCGATAAAAACTGGACTGTAGTACATTATTATTCCCTGGCATGGTCAGCGCATTAAAGCATGACTCTAGCCTCTGAGCATGCTAACCAAGTTTTAATGTTTTAAAATATTCTGCCTTTAATGTTCGACTCATGTGGTGGAATTTTTCATTCCACTGATGCTTAACAGATTGATTCTCAATCTTCCATATTCAAATTACCTTTGGGATCACAGGATAAATTTATTCCACCTCAGCTATGGCTTAATCTCTCTTTTGCATAATCTCTTGGGAGTAACCCTTTCGATGTATCTGCTCCTGTTCTCTCCACCTCCACAGGTTTTAAAGTGGTAGACTTAACCTTGTGCCAAATCCTTCAGCCTAACTTCACTACTTGGGAAACACCATGCTAGTTGCCATAAATACACACAGAAACAGCAGTACATAACAGCTATAGAGTATTTTTTCAGGTTTCATACTTAAGAACTGGGTGACCTATGAGGACAAGATGAAAACAGGGCCAGTGTGTTATACTGTTCCACTGCCAAGAACACATGTAAGTGTAGAAACTCATAAATGTTACGAATGCCACTTTGCTTCAGGAAACCTACTTGAGAGCACATTCTTAGGTGCTGACAGTGTCACAAATCCTTTTGCACATTCAGATCATCAAATCAGTTGGTCTGCTCTCATCTGTCTTTCATCACTTAATCAGCCTTCTTCAGTGTTTCACACAAATGTATTCAATTTGTAGCAATAAGAAAGAAGATGGAGCAACATAAAGCTTTCTCTACTCCAAACAAGCCACCCAGTTTGCTGCCAGAGGGGAAGATGGCATAGATTAAAAGGCAGTAACGTTGCGTCCACTTGCTTTCTCATTGCAAAGCTGCCTTAAACCTGAAGTTGGCATGAAACTACAAAACATATGCCAAACACCTGGATCCTATGCCCACAGGAAACGTAGGAGAAAAGCAGAGAGTGCATATGAGAAAAGGCAATGAATAACAAAAACAATTTATTCCATGTTTTATTTTTTTTTCCTGAAGGTCTGCACCACAAAAATCTGTCAGAAATTAGATTTGATTGTGAGAGCTGATAGCACGCTCCAACCACAAGTGAAATAGTTGGGGACCCTCGGTTCAGAAGGCTTTTTTATACTGCGAATCAGACTCGCCTACATTAGAGCCTGCGGGGAACGCTTCTCCAGCTTCTTATTTTAGCATTCTCATCCTCAGCATGACATTTTCATTCCACCCTTTGCAGAACAGGCCTCTAAACTGCATTATATTAAAACAGTTTGTCCTGCCAGGTTTTAATATGGTCGTCGAAAACAATAAAATAATCTAAATGTCAACACTGCCGGTGGAACGCTTTGTTCCTTAGATAATCAAGATTCATGCCAGCTGCTTTACAGACTGAGCAAAGAATTCAAATTCGCTTTTCTTGGTATTTCAATGGCTGGAGATTTCATCCAAACTGTATTGGGGCATTTATTGATAGAATTCTATGCCATTTATTGTATAGAGTGCTTGTTTGTTATTACCTTAACTGTCTGTGTGTTGTTAGCGAGATGAATGCTGTATATTCCATTCTCTGTAATCCCAGACCTGTATATCTCAGCGCAATCTCTGAAGATTTCCATCTTCTCTTTGGAGGGACTGGTAATATCTGCTAGAAGAAGACGAGATGCATGTGGGATTTCCCACCATTTATTAAAAAGACGTATTGAGCAATGTAACAACTTCCTATAAACCCATGTTGAATGAAGCAACAGCCCATAATCCTTACACAAAGCCTTCTGGCCCATAGTCACTCACTCAGGTTTACCATAAACACATGCATGTCTTCCAGACAGCCTCATACATGCTGATGAGAGCTTGGCGCTCACCATTGCAGTGAGTGACCAGGGCCAGTAGCCGCTGTACTGTGTCTGAGAGAGTAGCTTGCTGGCGCTGGAGCAAAGTGCTGTTGCGGGTGGAGCTGGCCAGCTGTCCCTCGAGCAGGGTGACCAGGCGGCTCTGTCTGTCCAGCAGCTCCTGCAGCTGCTGCTTCTCCTGCTGGATGACCTGCAGCTCCTGGCTGTGTCTGGCCTCCATAGCTGCGAAGCGCTGCTCCAGGTAGCTGTGGAGGGAAAAAGAGAGTGATACCATTTTGCATAACCTGTGCAGTATTATTTATATACACAACACCTACAGACATCTCAACATTACTGTGTCTGCACTGCTCAGAATAATCATATTTAAAGCAATATTCCAGCATTTTTCAACCTACCTCCACATCTGTTATCATAGACAATAATTTGAATGCATTTCACTGTATGTACCAAAAACATCAGACAACATGTTGACTTGAAGCTCAAATAAAAGACATTGGGCAGTTGCTGCATATCACATCATTATGTGATATATCATATTTTTCTATTTTTTATGTCCAAGTATTTTTCCATGAAATAATTCAATAAATAAATGACATATATGGCATTATTCGACAATACCTCTTTTACTGGAACACAATTTTCAATGTATCAAAATAAAATTAATTTTAGGCTTTTATGCCTCCCAAAGTCTAAAAATGTCAAGTGGTGTGACAATCCAATCAAATATGCAGATAAAGTAAACAATTTAAAAAAGATCATTTTGATATATGAAATTTAAATTTAAATAGAATGATTTATGTTTAAAACTTTTAAAAATATAACATTTTTCAAAATAAGGCCACCTGAAAACTAATTGCAAAACTGGTCTGTAAATTTTGCAGCATTGACAACACAAGAACTTCTATCTTGACAAAAAAAAGAGAAAAAAAAAGAGTGGGCAGGGTACTGCGTCATAAAGGAGACCCCAAGTGACCTCCATGGTGCAATGGCAAGCTCAACGGCCCTTTCACAAATACTGAAAACATTGTCAAGTAATGCTGACACAAGTTGTTCAGTTTGACGTCAGCAAAACCATGAATGTCTTATAATTATTATTATTATTATTATTATTATTATTATTGTTGTTGTTGTTGTTGTTGTTGTTGTTTATTTTTATTTTTTTTAGTTAGTTAGTTAGTTAGTTAGTTAGTTAGTTAGTTAGTAAGTTGGTTACTTAGTTAGTTCAATTTTTAGATGGGTGTTCAAGTACAAAAAGGTAGTTTATACACATTTCCGGTAGCCATAAAAGTAATTTCAAAATATATTATTTTTAGCTAATGTTGCACCACCTGACATTTTCTGGTGGTAAAATTGACAATCTTGTTTACAAATGTCTTTACACCATTATAATAGCTATGAAATAAATATCAACACATTGAATAGATTCTTGCAGATACATCATTTTTAATAATTTTTAAATTCAGATCATTTTGAAATCCCTTATTTGTCATTGACCTAAACACACAGAAATCCATTGAAATTACTGTATGTGGTAATAGATGATAGAATATAGATCCAGCAAGTTAAAAAACCCTCCCACATACCTTTAATGTTGCATGAAATTCCATAATAACTATGATTATTTGCTCGTTCACCTCTCAATGCCACGAATAAACCTCTCAGACAGAGTTACTGCATTGAGTGGCTGGTAAAGCTAAACTTCTCAGAAACACCTGGCCAGTCCCAGGATTCACAGATGGTGCCGGTGGCTGAGCCTCTCCATCAAACCCAAAGGCAACACTCTGACAGTCTGTGTGGGTTTGCAACACATTGTGCTGCAAATGAAGACAATAAATCCTGCAGGCCTGATCTTTATGACTCTTGCTAACGACTTTGTGGCAGTTATTTATTGAAACAATCCAGCCGCATGGATTGAACAAGCCACTTTTGGCACTTCAAAAAACATCATTCGCTAATTCCCTCTCCCTGCTCTCTGTGCTAATGCTACCAGCAGGCTTCATGCTTAGGAACGTTCAGGAACATAAGGTGATAGTGCATCAGTCAAACTTTGCTTAAAAAGAAGGAGCTCATCCGTTGATAAACTCCAGCTAATCCCGATAAGATTCAAGCATATTTCATCACTTTTATTTTTCATTTTCAATTTTTTTAAATAAAGAATATTTAATTCCTTAAAAGCACTAACACACACGCAGGTCATTGGGTTCAAGCGTAGAGCTCTGTCTCTCTCTTCTTTTACTTGTAAGAGAAAGAAAATACCTTCTTATTTCCTTTATTGTTGTAAGGTTTAATATTAAACAAAACAGACTATGGATGTATGTACTCCTTAATATGAAATGATTTATTTCCTTTATCGCTGTTGTTAACTAATTCCCTGTAATAGCATTAGCATATCCATCGCGCTGCGTGTGATGATGAAGCCACATCGTTTATTTGCACATCATGACAAGGTTAGGATCGACGGGAGAGGAAAAACATGCAGAAGTGGAACAGGTGGTGTGTGGTCTGTTTTGCTAGGCACGTTTTGTTCAGGAGCTGGAATGCTAAACAACTGAAAAGAATAGTAAAAACAAGCACTCCTTTTACTCCAGGAGTGCCCTGTCTTCAATCCTTTGACCCCAACACCGGGGCCTCTTCTGACTTGACAGCATGAGGAGCCCACCTCCCCCCATCCCACCCTGCGCTTCACCTCCGATTCATCTCAAATTCAAAGTTTATTATCCTGTATGGAGCAGGTTACATGCTACACAGAACATGTTTCCTAACTGCACATGGAGGAGAAGTAACATATGGACATGGACAGGGCACCTCAGTCCTTTTGTGCTCTTAAGCTCAGTTCATCATACAAGTTAAAACAATAGTTCTACACAGTTTATTAAAGAACGGCATCAATAAAACCAAGGCTGTGACCAAAATGGATATCTATTTGCATTTTAGTGCACTACTACACACACTTTTTCTCTTAATGTCCGAATCATAAGATGGAATTCCAGAGTGATTTTGAGGGCACTACAATCTTCCATAATGCATTCGTAATTTCTGGTGAACATCGTAGGTCACTACAATGAATGTGTACCAGAGTGCATTGCTAATCTCTTGTTAATAAGCAATGGACAGTGGAACATTAACGGTGGCCACTGAGCCATTGAAAAAAAAGAGAAAGATTCTCTCTACTCTCTGGTGGAACACTAAGAATGAGCAGCTCTGTACAGTTAAAAACAAAGACCTTAATATGTTTGCTGCCTGCTGCTCATGATACAGCAAAAACACTGGAGGTTACCGTAATCATGGATCAAGAATCAAATGTGCAGCTGAGCCAAATTTTGTAGTTTTTTCCCAGTCCTCATCTCCTGCACATTATGCCCACATCTACAGCCTGGGTGGCCACACTGCTTCTATAGTTTTCAGGCAAAAAAATGTTCAAAACCCGAGAATCGAAAAAAAAGTATTGTGAAAGTCAAAGGTCAGCATTTGAACCATGACACTAAATAATACAGCATTAACCCACCATGACACCATGACAACAATAATAATCTGCTGGGGATGTTAACCACTGATGTCTTGCCTTTGCACTGCCTGCCTTTTATGCATCATAAGTATGAAGAACAAAAAGCTTAAGTAATTTTTAGACTCCAATCAGAAAGAAAGAAAAAAAACAAGATATATTGCAAGTGACGAAAGCCACGTCTTTTAGGCTACACCAGGCAGATCACTAGCCATTCCAATTTCCAGCCATTGCAGAAGTATGTACAGTCAGTAATGCTGGGATGGGTAATCCATGCCATGTCTTGTCTTTGAGATTGCAAACAATGCCATTAGGCATGACAACAGCCTCCTCTCAACAGGACTGAATGAAATGTATGTCAATCAAAGTTTTGATACTAATTAGAGGTGGGAGTGGGGTTAGGCTTATTCATGTTTCAGTGTAATTATTAAACAATGAGCTTTATTAATTTTATAATTTAAACTGCCCACTCTGGCAACACTGTGTACAGCTATATGAATGAGAAGCCAATTTCAGTCTCACTGATGTAACTAATGTTGGTTTGTTTATGACTGCTGACTGGTGAATACTGACTAAATTTGATAATGAAAAATTAATTTATTTATTCATCTGGAAATTATCTTTAGTGAACCATTCGATTACTACTAGCACTACTAGTACTACTAAAAAATTCTATAGTCTTCCATTATGTAGTACAATTCTAATGATGGTATAGAGACCATTTCACAAGTGCACACTGAAATGACATGTAATGGTTTCACATCACTGCTTCTAAATTTCAAGGTCACTAAATAATCTAAGATTTTTAGTTAATTCTGTTTGATTTCCATCAGTCAAAGTGTTTCATCAAAGGGTTATGAATGATACGAAAAATATCTTACTGCTATTAGTTGACTAATAACAAAAGCATATGGTAACTGAAAACAGGAGTCAGCGTTGAGTTTCGTTATATTATTACTATAACTCATAGCACTGCAGTCATGCAGTGATTGATGATAACATACTTGGATAAGGAGCTCTGCTGTTTTGCTGATCCCTTGTGAGCGTGATGTATGTTGATTGTTCAAGAGAGAAATGATAAGTAGCATTCTAAAACTAAACATGTTCAACCTACCACATCTAAGAACTTAACTGACTGTCTTTTAAAAAATATTTCTTCTGGCCTCGTCTCTTCAGATGTGTGTGAAGGAAGCTTTACCTGTTTTTGTCATTGAGGCGGGAGACCTCCTGGGTCTGCTGCAGGAGCTGCTTCTCCAGGCGGTTGGTAGAGAGAGAGTACTCCAACAGCTGGATCTCCAGACGACTTGTTTGGTTGAGAACCTGCAAACACGGGCAGAATAAGAGCAATTGGAAGTATCACAGAGTACTCTAATCCAGTTAGTGTTTATTGGTTTGTTATAATTTAATGAATATGCTGACTGACTGAAGGACAGAATTTGAAAAAGGCCTTCGTTTATGTTTGCAGTATCTTATTGGAAGTTCATGTTTTAGCTGAATAATCATCTCACCGTGTGTATGTACCCAGTTCGCTCTATTTTCACAACTACACTAATATAATAAACATGTGCCCCTGACAAAATCAGCTAAATATTTTCTCAGGTTGCTCCGTATGTACAATGGACTGCTGACAAAGAGATAGCAAAACACAAAAGAGGTAGAAAACAACATTGTAAAATAATCCAATTTGGAGAGGATGAATGGTACACCTGTTTTAGTTGGGCTGTTTTCATAGTCTTTTTTGTCAGTCATCCAACACCACTCAGCATGTTCACTCAGACCTGCCTACTGCTGCAGTAGATGGTGGATCATGAATTCAAATGTGGAAAGCACAACCTACACTGCTTGGAGAGAATGGTGTTAAAATAACCGTGCAAAAGTCAGAGACCAATTAAATTTCCAGTCAAGTATTTCATTTTGCAGTGTCATTAAAAAAAAACAGAAGGTTACACAGAAGTTGTGGTATTTTCTGTGTCTATGCTTTCATTTTTTAACAGTTTCCACTCTTCTCGGGATGCTTGCTTTCAGTTTTTCCAAGAAATCTACAGGGATATTTTTCTACACCTCCAAAGTTCGGTCTTAAACGTTGGTTGCTTTTTTTGCTTGTCATAATCCACGTAATTCCAAACACATTCAATGATGTTGATGTCTGGTTGTTTAAGTCCCATTTTTCTATCTTTTAGAAATATTTTTTAACTTCAGTTTGTTTTTTTCACTTATTTTCCTTTAACTGTTCCCTTCTTTGTGCTGGTGTATTACCTTATATCTAATCTCCTCAGAAATATATCCTGAAAAATGAACTTGTACTTAATGGTAATTTTGTATAGAAATTAAATCAATGACAGGGTGTGATTGCAGACTGAGAGAAATGCAGAGATTTAATGATGTGACCAGGGTGTTGGAGTTGCTGCTTAGAGTCATACAGAGGCTTGGACAGCTGTTATATGAATCACAAGAGGTCTCTTAATGTGTGACTGTCATGTCTTATGTGTCAGCAGATGCTGTCAGTCTCATTTCATCTGGCACACCTGAGTCTCCACATCTGTCAGCTTGCGTGTGTGCTCTGCTGACTGGCTGAGGAGATTGGTTCCTATCTCGAGCATGGTGGCCGTCTGCGTATGAATGGCATTCCTCTGCATCTCCACCATCTCCGAGCGCACATTCTTCTGGATGTAACTCTCCAGCTGCGAATATGAGAGGGGACACATGAGTGAGCTCAGACCACCGTCTCAGCCCAAATACGCATCTGCTTTAGCCACAGCAGAATAATCCATTACAGTCAGATGAGCCAAAGACTTTTCAGCAAGTGCACTGATGTAAAAATGTTCTCTATAGAACAGAAATTAGAAATATTCTGAAAAAAAATAATAATAAATTGGTGCTCATTTGCTTGCTCTAGAACATTATTCATTGGAAGTTTCCTCCCTTTTGAATCTCAGCAATAGCCTGATCACTGGAAAAGAATAATGCATGGCATTTACTTGATTCAAATGTGTACAGCATTTCCACATGAATAAACATATTACATCAACACAATTACCAAAAGCAAGTAAACTGAAAGAAAAAAAATGTGTTGATGCAGTATATTTTATTCATGTGGAAATGGTGTCCAGCAAATTCAATGCATCACTTTTTTCAGCGTATAATCTTTGAGAGTATTTTAAGAATGAGTTGGATGTTTTCAGTATGAGGATTTTGGAAAGCACAGTCAAGTCTTGGAACATAAACCCGTGGAGGGAATTAAGCATTAGGACATGGCAACTACTGAACTATCTGTCTTCCTGTTGGAACTTGGCTCCCTCTTGGACAAATGGACAATCTAATACAGTGCACATTCAAATGAAGGCTTGAGAGAGCACTAACATTTCATCATCCATCTCCACGGTGTCCCTCTGTAACCAAACAACAGCTGCATATTAAGGCAACAAGACATTGTGGTCTTTGTAGATTATGATGTTACAAGCTATGATTTCCAAAGTGCTGAAAGTCCACATGTGAGTCCTGGATGAAATCAGGATCGTTGTCTGGTTTAACTCCTTAAATGGCCAGGGCTCACTGGCAGGCCCAAAGCTTTAGAACATACTTCTAAAACCTAAGCACAGCTCCTTAGGTCCCTGTAGTTGCTGAATAATAAGCCCTAGTATGTAATAAGCCTGCGATTTAAAGGGTTAATTCATTATTCGTTGTCATATGCAGAAAACAAAAGCAGTGAATTTTATGCAACCTGTAATACAGGGGTGCCATCCATCTGCGAGTAATAAGCACACTTCATAATGATGTGGCTTTCTTCAAACTTTGGCATGTGAAAGACAAATTCAGCCCGATTTCCAGTGCACCAAATAGTGCTGAGCATGTCTTGGTGCTTTCGTTCAGTATTTCCATACTGAAACATTGTTTTCCAGCTTTTCAGCAAAGCAAGCCTTGCAGCGAGCAAAAGTGGTACACTGAAAAGAACAGAACATATTAATATTTATGTGGGGGTTTTTGCATTTAAATGAACAGAGCATTCTTAGTCATACTCCACCGCTACATTTCCAAGAGGATAATTGAGTATTTTCAGAATCTTTTAACTGAGCTAAATGGGCAGCCACAAGGATGCGGCAATATCTATAAGTGTCCATTTGCTTTCTTATAATTCTCTATTCTCTGAAACAGGTTTACTGACTCAAGCAAGGCATGACAAAACCAACTCAGTACCCAGTCAAGCATTGGCAGATGAGAGGAAAACAAACCATGTCCAACATGAATGGAATGAGCCAGCATTACTTCTCATTGTCTGTCTCTGTCTCTCTCTCTCTCTGCTTGTGCATCTTGGCAGTTAAACTGAGGGAGATGGAGGCTGACACGCAAACTGTGGAGTTCTGTCAGAGAAGATTACAATGGATTAGAAAGCAGCATTAAACAGAGACATCAGACAGCTAAGATGTTTTATCACAATTACTAGCTGCCTTTCATTTTGGAAACACCATCCAAAACATCTCCATTACAGCAGACACACACTGCTGCTTAGCAGAGTGGTCAGGTCTGGGCAAAGCAGAGCTATGGCCCTTCTGTAAGTATGTATATTTTAAGTTATATAGTGCTGACACCTTAACAGACAGATGTGAGAATGATGTTTTGAATCATGATTGTTTCATTTTTCAGTTTTCATTTCCCTGAAAAGAGACAGAATTAGTGATGTGGAAGCACAAGGATTTTTGTTCCTTAATGTCTTAATTACTGTTAAATACAGATACTATTGCCATAGATGGAATCATTAAATAGTTTTTATAGAGGTGTTTATTTTCCTATGAATGAGAGACTCATACAGCAAGAATGAGGCCAGCAGTACTTCAAATAACGAAAGAACGAAACCAGACTGTCGACTCACTGTGGTGAGTATACTTAAAAAGAACTTGGTGTGTATCTCAGTGGACCAGTGGACCAGTCACAGTCAGGGGGAGGTCTCAGAATGAATGACATGATGATTTGAAAAAATCATAGTCAGGGGGAGGTCTCAGAACAAATAATGCAGTGATTAGGACCAATCACAGTCAGGGGGAGGTGTCAGAATGAACAATGTGGTGATTAGGCCCATCACAGCCAGGGGAAGGTGTCAGAACGAACAATGCATTGATTAGGACCAATCACAGTCAGGGAGAGTTCTCAAAATAAACGACGCGGTGATTAGGAGTTCTGTTTAGTAAGCAGTGTTCCCTGCACTATACGACCCCAAATAGCTGCATCATTTTGACCAAAATTCCACTGGTCAGTGTTGTAGTGGGTATTCAGGAGAGTTGGAGAATTGACCACAAGCGATAACGTTTTGGGCTGCTTACTTCAGGCTAATGTATTGTAAGACCTGTATATAAACACAAGAAGGCACTGTACACATTACAATTAAGTCTATATTTGCAGTAATTAAGGAAATACATCACTGGCCACTCCTCAAGAGGTACCGCCCTGTTTGCTGATTGTAACTGGTCAGATAATGGGTCTGGGAGAGTAGGTGTAAATGAATCTGTTCAAATTTGGCAGTGTGGTGTGAATGTGGGTGCATTGCTTACCAATGTAGCAAGTCCCAAACACAAATCACATGAAGATGGACAGCAGTGTCAAGAAAGTGGTACATAGAAGGCAAGAACAAAAAGCACTTATGATTTTGGCAAATTTAAGATAAAAGCTTTTGCCAGATGTGGTTTAAGCACTAATTGGCCAGCTTGATCTTCTGGTTATAGCAAATACACACGAGTAGGAAAGGAAAAAGAAAAATTGAAGGGTTTGTTGCAAAACGCATGATAGATCACTTTCATATATGTTGTTGGAAGTGGGCTTTACAAATACAGGACATATCAATGCCATATATAAATGGCATATAATGGCATAAAATGTTTTCCATTATATCTCAGCTGTGATTCTTTTTAAAAAAACTCAATATAACCAAAATTACATAAGGATATACAGCTTTTTGGAATTAAATTCTTCAATTTGTTTTATAGCTGTTAGCTAGTAAAATGTTAGCCATTAGCAAGTTTTAGTCAGTTCTGTCAGCCGTTTGCTTTGTTTGTTTGTTTAAGGTGGGCCGGTCTGTATCACGTAACTCACGGTCAGAAAATGAGTCCCACCCCCGCCCTACCATTAGTTAACAGAAAACTTGTACCAACAAACAGAAGATAACTGGAAAGAAGGAGGGTTAAACCTGGATGTGGAGATGAATCTGTGGATGGGGAGGGGGTATTTATTTATGTATTTAACTCCAAATCACACTGGCTCTTGTCTGTCATCAGCAAACTTTAGAGCACAAAGCAACATTCTTATCCTCCTGCCTGCTACCCACAGGATGAACAGATTCAACAAGGTTTTAGCAGCAGAACAAAAATAAACCTTGGCCTTTTAGAATACAGCTTAACTGGATCTGTAGCATAACTGATATCTGTGACTTGGCTTTCACTGGGATTCCACTGAAAGTCTTGTTGGTGGGTGCCTGTACGTGTTTTCTTTTCAGTGGCCCCAGAGGGTCATCAAAGTAAGAGATACCGCATGTTGATGTGGATCATTTCAAGTGTGGCCTTTAGGTAGACAGTCCTTCAGAGAAATTCATATGCAAAGCTAACTCACCAAAATGTTGAAAAACCTTGAACTCTGTAAATTTTGAATATACAATAGCATGACTCAAAACACAGCCTAGAACTGTCACAGACTGGATATCCTATAAATCTAACATCCGGGACTTTATGCAGCATATGAACTAAAATATGAAGAATCCTGTTGTTTACACAATGCTGATGCAATTTACATAGTGTTTCTTTTGACCCAAATGAGTCAAGACATGATTTTGGGTGACATTGACTTCCATTACTTTTTAGCTATGTTAGCCTCAAAGCTACAGTGCAAAACTAAAGATAAAGAACTTCAAATACCAAACTTATTTTGGCTTATTGATTATGCATTGGGTAAGGGAAATATGTGTATTTCATTTTACAGTGACTCATTCCTTTAAGACAATGAAATATCTACTTTTTGTGTTTTCTTTTTTGTCTTGATTGTCTTTTCTTGATGTGATGAAATAGAAACTTCTCATAATACAAAGAAAAGTCTTCACTAAATGACAAGCAACACTGATACTCCCCACGCTCAGCAAGCAGAGCGAGTTAACAGTTGCAGTTTAGACAACACTTAACCTACTGCTGGAGGTCTATGTTCAGTCTCGTCTTTTCTCGTCTACGTTTCACATTTTCCCTCATGTTGTTGTCCATATTGTGCCAATTAAAAGCCCTTCCATAAAAACTTAAAGCAGACCCACGCATACGAAGACATAGCGGATGTGTGCATAGTTTGACCCCATCGTCATGCTCTGGCATCACTGAGCTTGCCTGCCTGTACGTACATGGCACTAATCCTCATGCCCCCCTCTGTATGTTTATAGAGAAATCCTGAAGGAGGCCACACAGCAGAGCCAAAGTTTCCACCATACCACACTCTGGGTGTCAGACAGACAGCAGGCCTATCCCCAGCTGGGACGCCTCAAAGACTGAGAGTAACCCCAGGATATGTGACACAACAGACTGAAAAGAACCATGTAATTATGGTGAACTACGAGAGAGGGATTTATATGAGAAACAAGGGCAAAAAAACAGAGACAGGGAAAAGAGAACCACTTAAAAATGAATGCGACTTTTGAAACAATGCATTAGAAAAATGCCATACAGTCAGAAGTGACCTTCTCGTGGAGAGCACAATGAAAAAAGCACAGGCATAAACAAATTCAAAATACATGGTCAGGTTGAATAGGGAGCTGGGTGGAGGGCCATTGAATAGCAAAAGCTTTGATGAGATTGCAAATGACCTTCACAGCAAAAACAAAAAAAACACCCCTGTAACTCACAGACTAATCTCAATGATCCACACTATCATTAGCGGGGTTTAACTGTTGGTATGTTTACAGAGAACAATCAAAACAGCCCCATTAAATAGCCAGGCCGAAATGTGTATCCCAAAGATAAGTTTTGGACCATGTAGGTCAGAGCAAGGGTTACTGCTGCTGTATTTATGATGGGAAGGGGGTGCTCAGATAGAGAGAAATGCATTTGGCTCAAAATCCTTGTCTTCTCTTTCAAGCCATGCATGCGATTGGGAATCAGGACATCCCAGTGGTCTTAAAATATAATTTCAGATACTGACAACACTGTCAGCACACCAAGGAAGAATCATACAGTCTGGAAAGCTGCTGTAAACATTGATAAGATTTTTGCACATTGCTATCAGAGATCCCCAGGAACGTGTGACAATAAATGTAAAATGTGAGGCCGATGACAATTTAGATCGCTAACAAACTAAATTTAGCTTTTAGAAACAGAATTTGCAGTGTTTTGCTAACAAGCTAAATTTAGCTTCTAGTGTTATAATGTATGGGTAAAAGGAGAACTTGAAGTGCATTGCCAAGAACTTAAATTTAACTTTTAGCATTAGAATTTAGAGTGGATTGCCAACAAGCTACATTTAGCTTCTAAACACAATTCAGTGTATATTGCCAAAATTCAATTTGGCTTCTAGTATTACAACTTGGAATGTATTGCTAAAAAATTGATTAACTTCTAGTACTAGACTTTTCTGTGTATTGCTAACAAGCTAAATTTAGCTTCTAGTGTTATTATTTATAAAACATTGACAAGAACTTAGCTAAACTTAGCTTTTAGCATAGAATTTAGAGTGGATTGCTAACAAACTACATTCAGCTTCTAAACACAATTCAGTGTGTATTGCTAAAAACTTTAGCTTCTAATATTACAAGTTGGAATGCATTGCTAACAATCCTGCTGAAAAAGAATGCTGAATTCCATGATGGTCTAAGCTGGTTTATTGTCTGGTATTTGTTTACCTGGTCACCCAGTATGGTCATGCTGGTTGACTAGCATACCAGCATTCAAAACACAACATATGCTGGTTTTGCTGGTGACTGGTATACCAACATCTAAAACACAACATAAACATGGGTTTGTTGATGAACAGCTATGCTGGTCTATGCTGTGTTTTTTGTAGCAGGGAAGCTAAACTTAGCTTCTTGAGTCAGAAATTGGAATATATTACTAACAAATCAAATTTCGCTTTTAGAATCAGAATTCTGAGTGTATTGCTAACAAATGAGATTTTGCATTTAGTACCAGAATTTTGAGTGTATTGCAAATAAAATGAATTCACTTCTAGAATTTTGAGTGCACTGTTAAATAAACTAAATCTAGCTTTGAGAATCAGGCTGTGGGGTATACTGCTAACAAAGTACATTTAGCTTCTAGTATTAGAATTTGGAAAGTATTGCTTACAAAATAATTTAGCTTCTAGAATCAGGGTTTGGAGTGTATTGCTAACAAACTAAATTTAGCTTTTAGAATTAAAAATTGGAGTACACAAAATATTAACACAAAGCTAGAGAGAAAGAAGCAGAGAGATAAGGCAGTCAGTAGTACCTTCTGCAGCCACTGTGTGTTGTTCTCAGTGGCGTTCTCCAGGCTCTCCAGCTTTCTCTCCTGCCAGGTGGGCTCAGCATGGGCTGTCTCTGGGGGCAGGGGCGAATCCCTCTGCAGGGAGTTGGTCACCTGAAAGTCCCGGGCCTGGCACTGCTCCACCTCTGGCAGGATGAAAGTGTAGCTGCAGGGGCCATGCTGCACCTGGTGCTTCTTCCTCTCTGAGCCAATCGCCACTGCCACCGCTACTGCCAGCGACCCCAGAGCCAGCAGCCAGCCCATGCCAGGAAAGGTGGATGAAGGTTATGGACAGAATGTCTGGAAAAAAAAAAGAATAGCGTACTCCAGTGGAAACAGGTCAGGTGAGAAGCTCTCTCCTCAGAAGTCTTTCCCTTGGATTATTTCTTTTTTCCAGCAGGTTTTCTTGTTCTCCGAGTTCAACTTATGCCTTTTTTTCTTTTTCCGCGCCTTCCTTTCCCTTCACTTCTTCCGTGGCTGATGCGTCAGTCCTGGGAGAGCTCTTTTATGACATTATGCTCGCAATGCCGTCTGCCAAAAAAAGCTACTGTGGTTTTAAGTGCAGCACAGCCAGGACAGATGGGACAGGGCGATTGCTTCCTATTCTTTACCCACTCTGTGCTCTGGACGGCTCAATACAGGAAACATGCTGCAAACACGCTCTGTGTTTATTTACTCTCTGAATTGTTTTCGGTTTCCCCCTCTCTTTTTGTTGAAGCTGCTCTTGGGCGACTCGGCTATGGAGTTGAGTCCTGAACCCGTGGACTTTTTGGACACAGTGCCAGAGCTTTTTAAGTAGCAGTCTACCTTAACATCCCGTCTTTTGACACATAATCACTCAACCTCCCTCCATCACTCACTTTCTCTCCTTGTCCTCTCTTCCCCTCCCTTTCTCAGGAGTTGGCGTGGAGGCCACAAAAAATGTGCCCGGCACCCACTTCAATAGCCAGAGCAAAGAACATTCTCTTCTCGTTAGACCCCCCCCTTCTCCCCTGATTTCTTCCACTCTCTCTCTCGGACTCACACACTCACTCATTCTCTCTTTTCTCCTCCCCTCCTCCCCCTGCCTCTGCTTGCTTGCAGCTGTGCCTCTCTATACTCCAGCTCTGAGTTAAAGCAGTTGAACATATGGATATAAGGAATATTTCATATCACCTACTGTGTAGAGTAAATTCCATTAAAGTCATAATTCCTTTGCCATTCCCCAGTGACCGAGTTTGAACTTCATCTCCAACACCACATAGCCTGATGAATACGTCATACTGTTTAACTAAAGCATGATGGCTTGCCTGGCCAAACAGTCTGTTGATTCACTCTGAAGTCATCAATTTGAGATGTATATAATGAAATTGCTGCACTGCTTGCTAATGATGAAATATGTACTGTCTGGATGAGTCTGTCAGGTTTAGTCTTTTTAACACATCGTGTTAACTGGCTCATTTTCTCCATATTTCACTTGTGGTCTCATGTAGGACAGGCTAAGGTGTTGCACCACGTCTAAATCAGAATGCCCATACACATATTTCAGTTAGAAATAAGGTTCCATGAGAAAGAGAGAGAAAAAAATCTCCATACAGTCTTACTACCTACAGCAAAGCTTTCGGGCTGTGTTGACCATGTAAAATTGTGGAACGGGTATACCAGAGCATCTCATTGTTCTAATAAGGAACCTCTAAACCAGGGGGTCCTGGTCCTGGAGATCTACCACCTTGGAGAGTTCAGATCAACACACCTGGTGCTAATTTATAGATGAAGACCTTAATTAACAGGATCAGGTGTGCTAGATTTGGAGAGTTAAACTCTGCAGGGTTTTACAAGGCTGCATACTATTACCATACTCAACCCATATGCTGAACATATAATAAAGTCAGACTGGAAGAAGATGAATGAGGATTCAAGATTGGTGGAAGAGCCATCAATATCCTTCAATATGTGGATGACATAACACACATAGCAGAACATCAGGAAGACTTGAGGTGCCTTTATAAGCAAAGTAAAAAGCAATGTGAAAAGATGGGACTTTAGCTCCATATGATTATAATAATAAATATGCTTTATACTGTGCCTTTTTCAAACCCAGGGACAGTTGAAGATATTACGATTATGATATGAATGTGAAGGAAACAAAGTTTATGACAAGAAAGGCTACCAACCTGAGCTTGAAAAGAACTTCAAATGTAATGATTTGTTTCTACAAACAAAGATCAGTTTTGTCCACAATATGGTCTTTTCTGTAGTTCTTTATGGATATGAAAGTTGGACAATAAAAGAGTAGGACATGAAAAATATTGATGTCTTGAACTTGTTGTTGGGGAAGACTTTGGAGAGTACCTTGGATTGCAAAGACAACAAACAAATGGATATTTGACCTGATCAAGCCACACCTCTCACTCAAAGCACAGATAACCAAACTGAAACTCTTTTGTTTAGGTATGTTATAAGAACCGTTCATTGGAAAAGACAGTTATGCTTGGAACAATTGAAGGTAAAAGAGAAGGAGGATGACCGGCAACAAGACGGTTGAAGACAATCAGAGGAATCATGAACAAGTCATTAAGAAACCTGAAGACCCAAACAGAAGACAGGAAATCCTGTAGAAACACTATCCATAAGGTTGGAAGGAGTTGAAATCGACTTAACTGCACTTAATAATATTGTTGTTCAAGAAATATTGTGCATGTTTATTCTGGGTCATTGTTCTCCAGCAGTTATTCTCTGAGTTTATTTTGCTAAGGACTCTTATTCTGAAAGGCAGAGGTAGCCACTCACTATGTTTACACCTCACTGTGTTCATGTCAGAGCTGAGCGCTGCCAGAGTGTAGACGTGAGCTACATGTTGAGCTTAGGTTTAGGTTTAGTGAACTGTTAGCAAACTCTCTTTGTGTACAGCATAGCTGTGGCCAACTACAGCTCATTAATAAAGCACAACGACTTGTGCATAAGAAGCAGGGATGCAGGAAGGTATTTTAGTCAGGGCTGCTGGAATTTTAAGTAGCGTATATGGGATGTGACCAATGATTTCAAAGACTTTTTTTTTTGCTAATGTACATCAAACAACATGTAACAGTGCTAAAATGAGGCATGACAACTGACACATCAAACTACTGACACACATCATCACTCTGCGTAGACTTTCTCCCTCTGGACTTTAGCCAGCGTGTATTTGAGCGACACCCCCAATGTGGCCAGTTGTCGGCTCACTGTAATAAAAACATGTTTACTTACCTTAATCAGTGCATGACTACTGCATGGTTTTGAAAACATAAAAATATTAAAATTCCACCCTAAAACTAGCACATGTGGGTCTTTACTACGCTCAAATTATTACAAAGTTAAGAATGTGTTTTTATTATTATTATTATTATTATTATCACTTACAAACCTGAAATCAGGCAGTGCTGCAGCACCTTCAGCACCCCCACTTCCTGTGTCCCTGATATGCAATGACCTCTTTAATAGCAATAAATGCTACAAAATAGACTGTGCGATCTACAATACAGGCAAACATTAATTTGGGGATGCCAAAGAAAGGATAGAGCCAAATAAGTTATAAAGTGTCCTCCTCCTTAACCAAAATGACTTCTCCTTCACACGTTAATCTGCCATTTATTTCATCAGTAGTTTACACAAGCCAGAACATCACTAGCCAGTGTAATCATGTGGGTACATATAGGAATTAAGTTGCCAACACAAGCAAAGATTCATTCTTCTGCAGTCTTCCTCCCCTCACAACCAGAACGTCTCTCTCTCTCATGGCCTTTTCCCATCTCAAGTTCCTTTACGTGCCCTTATCCTACATATGTCCACAGGGTCATGAAAGCTCATATGTCTTGTTACATCCTTTCCCTCACCGGTTAAATGAAAACAGTATGCTCAGGTTGGTTAATGATCCACAAGACAGTGGGTGAGGGTACTGCAGCTAATGTGTTTCAAGTGTTTTGCAACTTTTTGGAATGATTTTATCATCACAATATCCATCAATGAAACTGATCAAAGCACGCTTGCGCTTTGGCATGCATGCTAGGGGGGAAATGTTATGACTAAAAGATTAATCCTGCTAAAAGCTATGATGAATTCTACAGAATGTGTGTGGTAAGACTTGAGAATGCGACATGGTTTGTTTCAGTTAAACAGCTGACAGTAATAGAGATATACCACAGAGTTGTTTTTCATAATTGTACTCTTGCAACAAGACTTTGGTGGACATAATGAAACCAACTCCTACAAGAACACCTGAGCCGTACAGACCGTTTGCTTTGAAGACTGAATAATTATAGCAGCTTAAATACATTAAGCCTTATGCTGAGCTTTGTGTTTTCTTAATTACCCCCTTCTGCAAAGTATAAATCAGAACAATATAACAATATAAGTGAGAATATTTTATGAGTATACACTGTGCGTCTCAACTTGTAAACCAAGCTATAAATTGCGACATAATGCTGCATGTGGAGCACTGAGTTCACTCATTCGATTGCTCATGGCTGTGGCTGAATGCCATTTGAAAATTTGTGAAATCCTGTATCTTTTTATTGTCAGTTGGATTTATCAGAAGGTTAAATGTGATTATTAATGGCAGCAAAAAAGCACCCAAATATGTGCTGCATGTGCAAAACGTGTTTGAGGCCGGCTCATTCAACTGCTTTAGTGTCTTATGTGCTTGTAGTGTGATATCTCTATCCTATGAAGTGTGTTCCAGGCGAAAAGACTGCTGAATCAAGCCAAACCACAGTTGAACAGGAAAACACTGCAATATTTAACAGATGTCCTCTCTCCTTGAGACCCAGAGACTGAAATGTCAAAATCCGCAGCCCCTACTTCCTTTCAATAACATGAAGACTAACGGTGAGAACATTTTTAGTCATTTATAGAGTTTACATGTCTCACAACGGCTGTCTCCTGCACTACACCACATTACGCAGCCATTACTTGTGGAGAAAGTGCATTGGAACATACTAGACTATTATTATTATACTACTACCAGAGGTGTGTAGAGTAGCTTCAAAACTCAAGTAAAAGTACTGTCACTTCAGTGAAATAACTCCTTGTGCACTGTGTTGCTGTAGTCTTGCAGTAGAGCATCTTAGTACATGCAGCGTCTATCAGAATAGCAAATGAAGTGTTAAGTGCTATTATTCTCTTTCTGGCATTCTTTTAACACTAAAGCTGGAAAGTGAGAAGTGTGAGCGAGAGTGAAGCAGTCCAGGTGCTGAACCAACAGAACAGAATGAACTCATAGTAGCCATAAAATGCAATGTCCACCTCTTTTGTAGGCCCCTCACTCGAAAAATGCATTACTTTCTTTAAAAATATTGGTGTAATGAATTTTGGGAGAAATGTGTATGTTTTACAAAACTGGAAGTGAACTGGATTTTCGTCTTCATAGGTGAGCAAGTGAGCCAACATTTACAAAAGTGCTATTTTTTTATTGTAGCAAGTGTACACAAATTGTTTGATAGCAAGAAAACTTTTTACAAACAACATGGGGTTTTGGGGAAAAAGATCTTATTTGATTATGTTAATTAAACATTTCAGAGTGGGCCACTAGGGCTCCTGCAGAACGAGGTCATAGTAGCAGAAAAGGAGAATTAATAACTATAGATGCACCTTTCCCCTTTGAATACAAATACCAGATCCTCCAGTATCTGCCAGTACCAAGTATCGATACTAAAACTAACTCTGTTGAACCTTACTATCTTAGAAATCTCAATTTTTATATAATTCCATTTTTTAAATATTTTATTTTGGTAAAACAGTGTTCTGTGTCATAAATAAAACCATACTTAATATTTTAAGTCATTTTAAAATATTAGTTAAAAACAAAACTTAATAGTATATAGATAAATCTGTGGCCCATAGGAATAAGCATGCAGCAGCTTTTCTCAGCATTAACAGTGTAAAATATTGTTTCACTTTCAAATTTCTCAAGTTATGTCTTACGTCTACAAGTGTCAGTCACTGCTGGAGTTTGTTATATAATATGGTTATTCACACTATCAGCAACAGCTGTTGC